CAGAGAATACAGCCAAGAGTAGGCTTTTTTTTAAACCTATATTATAGACTTGTTAGTGAATGACCAATTTTATGTTCCCCCTAATTTCACATAGTAAGTTCTTTCAGGATTGTTCACTGAAAAAGCAGAAATGGAGCAGGTATCCTGTTCAGTAGAAACTTTGATGAAGTTTAGACCCAAGTACTAATCCGAAAACAGCTGACTGTTCTTTTCTATGGGACACGCTCCACGGGGTGGTAGTGACCGATGCGGGCTGCAGACCCAATTGCACATCCAACCCTAAAGCTAAAAGGCAAGGTCAGAGAAGGGGGTATACTTCCAACACCTTTACTGAGCACTTAGAAAGCAAAGAAAGCCAAACCTTCGCTAAAGTTTGGCTCTCTCTGCATGCTCCCTCCAGGCTACCTTTTCATCTTCTGACACATCCTGGACTTCTTGGAGGCCATGGCTCTTGCCATCAGTGAAGGGAGTTAAGCCTGGCCTTAAACCCCAGGGCTGGGTCCTCACCAACTCCAAACACCAACTCCAAGATCCATACCCCTTACTGCTAGACAACAAGACCAGCAAAAACACTCGTTAACTGTGTGGCTCATAGTTTGCGAGAGAGTAGAGACTACATCAGAGGAGATCCCACACAATTTCTGGTCTGATCTTTTAATCTGGATAAGAATCAAGGGCTGCTGGGATACAGGTCCCAAGGTCTACCCTGTATGAAAAGAATCCTATGCCTTTCCCTGGGCCAACAAAATCCAGCTGCTCTTTTCGCTCAGCCATCTGCCTATGTCTTCCATGTCTTGGAACAGAGGGCATAGCCAGGTGCCCCAAGGCCGCTTGGGGGTCTTGAGGCTGAGCAGCCCCATCAGAAGCTGCAGCGGTCCAGTGACAGCTCTTGGGGACAGACGGTGGCCATGCAGGGCCCCTTAGCCATCAAGTCGCTGGCGGAGCCCAGACACTGTCAAGAGGAGAACTAGAAGGGAAGAGGGTTGAGTAGGATCCTAAGGCTTAGGCTTTCTGTTTCCCCCAGCGCTCACTGGCAGCCGGAGGCCAGCCTTCTTTCCGCTTCCGGCCGGAAGGAAGAAACACTCGGCCTGGCAGGTGCAGTTCTTCCCGCTCCAGGACAGAGAAGCACAATTTTGAGAGGTATTCCTCCTGCCTGTGAACACACTACCACCCCCTGTCACAGTGCAGGGCTGAGCTATACTAGGAAGATGATCACAAAGTGAACTCGCTCAATAAAACCCCTGACGTTCTGGAACCTCAAAATGCCCTAGCACCGTCAGACAGGGTAAATTACGGATCGGGGACCAGAGGTGAACTTACC